AGAAAGAAAGAAAGAAAGAAAGAAAGAAAGAAAGAAAGAAAGAAAGAGGGAAGCAAAAAGGAAGAGCGAAAGGAAGGAAGCAAGGAAAGAAAGAGGAAGGAAGGAGGAAGGGAAAGAAGAAAAGAAAAGAGGGCGGGCTGGAGGAAGGCAGAGAGAAAAGAAAGAAGGAGGAAGGAAAGAAAGGAAGGAAGGAAACAGAAGGAGAAAGGAGGAAACGAAGGTAGAAGAAAGGGAAATGAAGGAAGGAAGTGAGTGAGTGAGGAAGAAAAGAGAGATAGAGAGAAAGAAAGGAAGGTAGAAGAAAGGGAAATGAAGGAAGGAAGTGAGTGAGGAAGGAAAGAGAAAGAAAGAAAGAAAGAAAGAAAGAAAGAAAGAAAGAAAGAAAGAAAGAATTCAGAGTGGAAAAAATATCTGCCATCTGTGACTCAAATCTGGAACGGTTTAGCAAAAAGGTAAAGAGTTGACCGGAGCAAAGAATGGGATGTCAGCTGTTCCAAGCGAAGCTGCCTTTTGCAATTGACCGACGGGGATTTCGTCAATGCCGATGGTGTTCAAGGGTGCTCCAGATGTTTTTGGGATCGCACCCAAGCTGCCTGTCACTCTTGGGACTACTTTTGCTTTTTTAAGTCTGATTATTGAGCTACCTTGACGAGGGCAACCAGGAGGGGAGAAAAGGGCACAGATGGCAGATCTTTTCTTTTCCTGTTGGGAGTTTCACATCTAAAGAACTCTTTAGAGGTTTGGGGTTTTTTTTCCAAAGTGGGGTGAGAAAAAAAGCAGGTGATATTTCCTCAAACGTGTCTCTTAAAAGGGATCCGGCCAAAAAACGTCCAGCAAGGTCCAATACACCGTTCTGAAGCAAGTGATCAAGGGCAGGGCTGAAACAGACCGGATCTTGGCCCAGATCAAAAATAAAGCGGCTTTTAATTCTCTTTTTCCCTTCACTGTAGTAAGTTTTCACTCCCGAATAGGAGGCTGCAAGAAGATCAGAACGAGAAAAAAACAACAACACATCGGTGAAGCCAATAAAACTAGAATTTCCTACGAAGTGAGGCTGATGTAGGCTAGCTTCCTGGGCAAAACCGTATTTTCACCGAAGTGTTAGGAGGGGAGCGTGTTGCTGTTTTTCCAGGATCTGTACCGCAATGTCCCTGTGTAATCAATAGCAGAGACATTACCTGGTGGTCTCCCATCCCCAGACGAGACAGGCCCCTGCTTGCCTCGTCAGCCGTGAGGCAAAGCCCTCGAAAGGGTTCGACAAGAAAGTCTCTTCTGAGTCAAATTCGACTCATAATGGCATCCAGCTGGTTTCTATCAGCCCTGCGAGGTAGGACCGGGCAGGAAGCAAGAATGCTGCTTTATTAAAGTGGGGGTATGATGGCCGGATCTTAAAAAGCTATCTCAGTTTTCCTCTGTCCTTATACTAAAGTAAATCAAGGCACGGTTATCTTGAGTTTCTTTCTCAGCTTTCCTTCTATCTGGAGGGAGTATATCTAGGCCAGGGGTAGGCAACCTTGGCTCTTTTATGACTGGTGGACTTCAACTCCCAGAATTCCTGAGCCAGCCATGCTGAGGGGAAAGGAAGAGGTTTCCAAGCTGAGCCATGCTGGCTCAGGAATTCTGGGAGTTGAAGTCCACGAGTCATGTAAGAGCCAAGGTCGCCTACCCCTGCCCTAAGGAAACAAAGTCATAAGATACTTTGCCAGATTGGCAACTTGGCATCGTGAATGTGTTGATTCCAAATTAAATTCATTAAATGGCTAAACATAGACATGGAAATGCATGCTAAACTTCTGGTGGAAATGGCATTAAATTTATGCTCTCAAGAGGTATCATATGGTTCTTCCTTTGTGCTTGCCTGTTAAAGTGGTAGTAATTCAACTCCCAGAATTCCTGAGCCAGCCGGGCTCAGCTTGGAAACCTCTCCCTTTCCCCTCAGCATGGCTGGCTCAGGAATTCTGGGAGTTGAAGTCCACGCGTCGTAAAAGAGCCAAGGTGGCCTACCCCTGATCTAGTCTTTGACTTAAAACCACTTCTTTGAAGTTACAACAGCACGAAGAAAATGACTTATGACCGGTCCTCGCAACCGTCGCACCAACCCCACTGTCACGTGATCAAAACCACGCAGGTGGAAACTGGCATGTATTTATGACGGTTGGAGCGTCCCAGGGTCACGGCGATCCCCATTTGCGACCTTCCTTTCAACAAGCAAAGTCAAGCCGGATTCACTTAACAACCTCATGATTCATTGAACAACCGCAGCGATGCGTTCAACAACCATGCCCCCCCCCCCCCAAAAAAGGTGATCAAATTGGGCAGGATATTTTTTTTTACAATTTCCTTGTCTTACTGGGCACCCCTCCAGATAATAACCGAGCCTGATCCTGCTTAGCTTCCAAAACCCAGACAAAATCTTCCAGGTGCTGCCAACCCTCCCATTACTTTGTAATGTGAAATCAGCTGGAAGGTTCCCCCCAATTCCTCTCCTAATCCTGGGCTGTCTTTGCAAGGGATGCTGGGAGTCGAAGCCTATCTACAAAGCCAGCATGATGCTTTCTAAATCTCCATCACTTCTGGCAAGGATGAGAGGAGGAAGGGGGGGATGGGTGTCAAGGCCCTCTGCTTATGCTCAGAGACACAGACTTCCCTGCCTGGTCCTCCCAGGGACTGAAAGCCACCTTGAAATTACAGCTGGAGGAGCTGAGCATCTCCCCCCCATCCCATGAAGCTCTCGTTGGGGAGGAAAAATGTGGAAGAGATCCTCAAAGTACATTTGTGAGCTGAGCGGAGGCTGCGTCTCCATGGTAACCAAAGGAAGACGGTCCATAGCGTCTGCTGATGGAATTCCCTCCGGGAAACCGGAGTTGGATCGCTTTTCCTGTGGGTCCTTCTCCAAGTCACCTCCCTGGGGTACCTCCTGCAGCAACACTGGCTCCCAAGTAGGGCGTTTGCTCCAAACCATTAAAAACATCAGAATATTTCATAAGAGTTTGACTGAAATGCAGAATCCTCGTGCTGAAAGCTTGCAGTGCCTCATCGTCGGGTTACTTCAATAAGTCGCTAGTCCTTAAATTAAGAAAATGCTCCCAGGGATTGAAAATCCCTAAAGCAGGAAAAAGAAGGAAGGGGAGGAGGAGAAAAAAAAAAGGGAATTTCTCCACGGAAATTTTGCAAAGCCGTTTCCTGTTCATCGTTTCTGCTTCTGCTTTGTCTTCTTGCTGCTCGCGAAGGGCTAAGTAGGGGACGAGCAAAATATTACCGTTTGAAATGTCCCCTGTTTTGCAGTTTTTTAAAAAAAATAAAATAATAATCTCCAGCTGCCTCCAAAAAATGAGAAAAGCAGGACAAAATATTTCGCAGTAATGTTCATGCCTTGGTAAAAATGAAATTTTAAAATATGGGGCTTCATCCTGGGAAGCTCTTTTCACGCCCCTTTCCTGCAAGCCAAACCGAATTTTCCCAAAAAAACCCCTTAGCGTGTTTCTCTTAGACGTGAAACTCCAAAACCTCAACTCCATTTGCAGAGGCAAACGTAGAAAGAAGAAAGAAAGAGAGAGCAATTTTAGGGACCAAGCTGTGAATTATTTGGGGAATTCCAGGTGAAAACTCTGCATTTTGTTTCTAATTTTTTCCCCATCTATCCAAATGTCAGAAAGTTTGTGGTGGAAATGCAGGTAAGAGGTTCCAAGCTTTGGTTTGTGAAAACGGGGATAAAATTCGGGAGACTGATATTTTTGCAGCCTGCAATACCCCATTTCTGAGTTAGTTTCAAACCCTACGGAAAGTAAGGCGTTAGTAACGGAGGGACATGCCTTTAAAGGAAGAAAAAAAAAAAAGCTATTAAGACAGAATTAGTTTAAGAGGTGGGAAGATACAGGACAGGGAAGATCTAGGCAGCAGCCCGTTAAGAGTTGTTAATTTTTACTTCTAAAAGAAGGATCGATCGATTTAAACAGAAACCAAACTTACCAAAAGTATCTGAAGGTAACAAAACGGAAAAGGAAACAGAAAAACAAAATACAAAGGAGACGGTTGTTATAAGCCAGTTACTTGAAAAGGAAAGTAACAACAACAACAACAACAAAAAAGTACATAAAATACATACCACAGAATATACATAGAAACACAGATTGTATAATAACAGTTTTAACTGTGCCCAACTTGGTGAGCGGAGAAGAGTTTCCAAGCCACATTTTATACTTTGGGGGGGAAAAAACATCAGAATTTGAAACCAGACCTTCCTATGCACACATGGAACAGTTGCTCTGAGTTCGAAACAGGTGGTTCTAACCATTGGGGCTGAATCTGAATTCCCAGCCCTGCAAGCAGGGCTGAAGTGAGCCATATCGAGGCTCGAGATTTATTTCAAACTCAAAAAACTGGTTGGCTTTAAACCAAAAGCAAATTCAAAATGGTTTGACACCCTCTTTTGATTCTGTAGGAAGAGTTTCCCAACCTTGGTGACTTTTAAGATGCTTCGACTTCAACTCCCAGAATTCTCCAGCCAGCATGGCTGGCTGGGGAATTCTGGGAGTCGAAGTCAAAGTTGACAACATTGGGAAACCATATTGTAGGAGGTCAATCGTAGAGACTAAGTACCCATGGAGACTCACAACATCCTCCAAAAATGAATATTTGGGCCTCATGTGACAATTTTGTTATGGAAATGTACATTTTTTCCCCCCACTCCTCCCCTCCGTGCTAATGGTTACCCCCCGGCGTAATTTGCCAAGGGATGAATTGATGAGATGCAAAATATTCTCTAATTGATAGCTTCCTGTCTCTTGTTCTCTTCTTCCTTATGAAGAATAAAATCTTGAAAGCAACCCATCAAAACAGCAGGGAGAAATCACTGCGTTCAGCAACGCAGTCACGGAACCACATTTTTTTTAAAAGGCAAAAGCTAGGAAAAATACAGGTAGTCCTCTACTTCCGACTATTCATTTAGGGACAGTTTGAAGTTACAGAGGCATTGAAAAGAGTGACTTATGAAACCCTTGCAACATTCCTACGGCAAAGTGATCAAAATCCAGGCTCCTGGCAAATTGGCTCATATTTATGATGGTCGCCGTGTCCCGGGGTCACGCGATCCCCTTTTGCGTCCTTCTTCCAAACAAAGTCAATGGGGGAAGCCGGATTCACTTAACAACCGTGTGTCTAACTTAACAACTGCAGTGATCCACTTAAGAACTGTGGCAAGCAATGTCGTAAAATGGGGCAAAACTCACTTAGCAACTGTCTCACTTAGAAACAGAAATGTTGGGCTCAACTACCTGTTCTTAGTTGTATTATACATACAATATATATATTATTTAGAACTATTACAATAGTTCTAAATTTAAAAAAAAAGTAATAAAGAGGACCCATTTTCAATCTCCCAGTGCAAAGTTTGGTCTCTGTCAGCTTATGAAAGACATTAACTCCTGCCATTCACCATTAGAACATAGAATCGTAAGGCTGGGAGGGACCTTGGAGGTCTTCTAGTCCACCTCCTGCTCAAGGCAGGAGACTTTATGCCATCGCAGTCAAATGTTCTTCAGTCTCTTCTTGCAAATCTCCAGTGATGGACCACCCACAACTTCTAGAGGCAAGCTGCTCCACTGATTAATTGTTCCCACCTTCAGGAAATTTCTCCTTTTACCTTGCAACTACCTTAAGCAACCATATTTAAACAACATTAGTCTGCTTAAAAGCAAAAGACTTGAAAAATCAAGCTCCTGGTGATTTCATGGGCATTTGAAATGTTGGTTACCACCATGTAAAAAAGATGTTGAGACTCTAGAAAGAGTGCATAGAAGAGCAACAAGGATGATTAGGGGACTGGAAGCTGGTTGCTGGAATTGGGTATGTCTAGTTTAATGAAGAGAAGGACGAGGGGGGACAGGATAGCCGTCTTCCAGTATCTCAGGGGCTGCCCCAAAGAAGAGAGAGTCAAGCTATTTTCCAAAGCGCCTGAGGGCAGGAGAAGAAGCAAC